GCACACTTTTAAACATTCCTGGAGCAAGTGATCAACACGTCTGAAAATGTGTTAGCTTTGTCTAGCTTTATAGAATTGTGCTGAAAACTCTTTTACAGGACACTGATCTGCCCAAACCATCATCAGTCATAGTGTATGTAACAATCTGAACATCTATTTACATCCTTTTTATTTGTATGAAAATAAGTTTAGTAATACAGGTTATACACTTATACACTAAACTAGAACTTGACTCATCGTTTTTGCTGGTCTTTAGCTCTTGGGTTTTACACAAGTTTAACTACATGTTTAGACAAGAATGCAAAGCCAGTGATTCATTTTGTAGTTCTCCTTTCAGCAAACTTCACCTCCTACTAAATCTCTAATATTTAGGTCGTTATTTTAAGAGGACATGAATTAAAACAATAGTGAAATTCTAAAACTTCCCGTAGTTACTCTATGAGTTTACACGTTACAGTACAGACCCATTTAAGATCAGATGTTTTTTAATCATGCAGTGGCGGAAGAGGCATAGCTGCAATTCTAATGCTTGGTTATTTATTGCTTTTAAACTGTTGGTTGCTTTTTTCCTGGCTTTCTCTTGCCTTGGTTCTATCACCAAAAGAACGCACCTGTTTGTGTGAGTGACATACTTACTGTCATTGGTTATAGATAAACAAAGGGCACTTTTAACTTTTGCAGTCCTGCCCAAAGCTGCACCACCAAGTGGAGAATCTCAAGAAGCAGCAGCAGTAAATACCTTTTTGTAATTTTTCTGTGGGACTGCTTCTGTCTTCTATCCCATTGAATTTTAAAGAAACTAATTTTAAATTGAGGTTCTGAGCCTGCTTTGCAAACTAGAAAAGACATGAATTTATGTAAATATTGTGGGGCTTCCTTCTTCACTGTATTTATTAGAAATTACAGTATTTAAATATTGACGAACTCAAAAAAGCAGCATGGTTCAGGGAGTACCACTCTCTTGAATCTTGGCAAGTTAGCAGATATATGTTCAAATTTCAGAGATGAATTTAGTTCTGCAGTTAAAAAAGTTTTTTATTTTGTTATTGATACTTGAGACGCACAAAGGAGCAATATTATTCCAAAAAGGGAATCAGCTACACGAGTCTGTGGAGAAACCTGAGCATGAGTTTGAACAGAGCAGCATATTCTAGTAATTCTTCATGCTTCCTGTAACTCAGTATTATCCCACATCATCCTTGAACAGGGATGTTTCTTAAATGTCGTCTTTCTATTTAGATTAATCAAGATGTTGCAAATGATTTCTTGCTGTTGTTCATGTAGTAGGAGCCATTGATGAAGTAAGTTGTTAATTACAGAAGAGTGGCACAACTCGGTTAAATTGAGGTGATGTTCTGTCATGGATGGTATGTTGAAATTAACTTGAATTGATCCGTTAGAGTTTTTATTTTTGTTATGCATGCATGTTTCAGAAAATAATTTCTTGTTTAGTATTCTTGATTGGCTCTGCTGTAGTTCCTTTAGGCATGCAAATTCAAAATACGCGATACATGCTTCCAACCTTTAATTTATCACAACTGAATCATTGTTCTTGGGTTCACTGTGCAATTAGTCACTGTCTGTTTGAGCAGATGCACCTTTCTCTTCCTAAAAGTAAGTGTGCTGTATTTCTTTCTCTGCAATCTAGTTTGCTAGGAGGCAAACTTGTTACAGGATGGAAGGACAATGGAAGATACGTGCTCAATTCCGGATTTATCAGTCTTCATCTGCTTGATGAGTTCTCACGTTGCTTTGGTTACTCTGTTTATGTTGCTGTGACTTTTCCTTCTAGGAACAAATGCCTAGTTTGGATGGTCAGTAAGGTAAAAGCCTTTATTTTGTGTCCAGGGAGCTGACTGATAGCACACCAGACCACTGAACATTCTTCTGTGGTTGCCGTTTACTTACGTATCCAGTGCTTACCCTCTCCTGCTTTCTTTTGTGACTTACCAAGAGAGCTTTTATTATCTTCAGCCCAAAGTACTTTATTTTCAGGGGCTGTTTTCTTGATAGCTTTCAGTCAGAAAATAGGATCTGTAAACATATAATCTACAATAAATCTCATCTGTTATATTGTTTAGTTGCTTACATGATTTGTGAACTTTTGATCCTGAGAGTGAGGAGGTCTGGTTAGGTTACCTAAAATGCTGCTTGTGGTATTTTGACAACGTTCCTAAACTATACAGGAAAGTAAGCAACTTCCAAAGCCCTTATTTCTAAATATTGTGAAGAATGTGAAAGAGCAATTGAATTACATGCTTCAGAGAAAGTGAAAAGAAAATTGCTTTTGTAAAGAAATCTCTAGTATAATTTTGTTAGTTGGAGCTTTGTGCCTGCCATTTTCGCCCCCATATATTAATCCTAGCATATAGCTAGGTAATTGCCATTCTTTCTATAATGTGAGAGGAAATGAAATGAAAGCAGTTGATGAAAAGAAATGGAAAGGCAATGTTATAAACAGTGAAGTACAGAAGAGTAAGAACTAGTAGTGAAATATGAATCAGCTTGACGCTTGAAAGCCAATTTTAATAAAGTAGGAAAAAATGCCTGTTTCCTAATAACAGTTGCATATTTCATTGTTTTGGGAATTCGTTATAAGGGGAAGGGATGGACAGGTTACTGTTTATAATGTGAAATATTGCTTGAATGTCTAAGAATAGGCAGTATTGTCAGAGTAGCAGGCTGAAATGCGTGTGTTCAGATTTTTAGCTCTGCAATTAAAATCATATCTAATATGAAAAGATAAGAAAGACCTCAGATTTAATAAACTTAGTATTATTTCTAGATGCAATACTAAGTTTCTGTAAGAGCTGAGTTTTGAAGTCAAGCAACAACACTTAATCCAGTTGGTCTTTTATTAAAAACAATTGATTATAAATTTCTTCCTTTGACAGGTGTGTGATATAACATCTAGTCCTGTAATACTTGATACACGTGTTTAAATGCCTGTGAAAGAAGATATATATCTCAGGCTGTGCATTTTTAATGAACTGTTCCTTCTGTCTGAGTAATTTATTATGCACTAAATATGTGTTTATTCCATGTAAATTTGTGTTTATTTTATAAGCATTAATTTTTAGTGTATTTATTACCAGGTATGCTTAAAATTCAGCAGCCATTGGTATTTAAAATACAACTTCCTAAATAGTTCTAAGACACTTATCTTCTTAAAAACACTTTGCAATTAAAGCTGTAGTTGCTACAACAATGACTTTTTAAATTATAGTTTTGCAGTCTTTGCGTTCAGCCTTAGGCTGGTTTTAGATACAAATCCTTTTTCTGAGCTAATATTTAGATGCCATTCAGAAGAATGAGTTTGGGATCTTCTGATAAAGAGTCTGTAATTCATGTTGCTTTTTGGCAGGGAAGGCACGATCAACAATTTGACTCGCTTGAAATGTGGAATTTTTAAGGGCCCTAATTCCTAGGGGACTCTCTTGTCCCCTTTTGTGTACCAGGACTTGAAAAAAATTTCTTTAGAAACTGAAGTCTGGTGACTGTATCGTAACATGGTTCTACACTCCTTGCAGAATTGCCACACTCTAAACCAGTTGATTTGCTTGTTTATTATTTACCTCGATAATTGAGAGAACTTGCTTCTAGGTTTAGGCATTATGTTGGATGCTCTTTGAGGGATGCTTCTGGGTTCAGGAATCATATTGGTTGTGCTTTGGGGATGTGGGTTATTTCGTCAACTCTGCTGGTTGCACTCATCCAGTCTTTCAGGCTTATTGTTCTGTCCTGGTTTGAGCCAGCTATCCAGCATATGGCACAAGTGAAGAAAAAGTGTAGAAAAAAATATCTTCCTCACAAGTTATTCTTGAAGCACTTGATTATCTCAGCTGATAGAAAACCCCTGAAATGCCTTTCATCCTGGAGGATCTGTTAATCTCGCATCTAAATGTTTGGCAGAGAGATACAAACTCACGTGCAAAAGACTCATTCCTTTGCAACCTCTCCCCTTTTTTAATGACAGTGGCTGCATGTACAGAGTAAGCACCAGCTGCTGAGTAGATATTCATCTCAAGCTTTGGATAGAGTAGGCTGCAATTCTCCTTCTAGCCATTTTCCCCCTATTATGATTAAGCAATAGAAATACCCAGGACGAGGAACTACTTAAGAGACTCTCAAAGAAAATGAGGGCTTGATGATGGCTTTGCGATGATCCTCTGATGGGATCTGAAGCATCTTTCCTTGGTAATGAAATACAGTAGATTTTCCATTAGTGAGCACAACTTGGTTAACACATCTATCACTTCTAGGTGCAGAGTGGTATTTGTAACTTGAGCAGACACATTCAGTTACAGCTGAGCATTCCCAGCTCCCACCTTTTTCTAATTTCTTATTTGTACAGAAGGTGCATAGCTTGTTCTTTGATTGCCTTATTTTCTGTTCTGCATATCCATTTTTGTTTCTTGATATGCAATGATTCTCCTATATATACTTTCTGTGGACATTGCTGCATCTCTAAAGTGATTGCTGAAGAGCTAACTGCATATATCAAATGTTACTTCTTGCAAATAGCAAGCAAGTGCTTCCCTTTACCTCTGGAAGACGAATATAGAAACTTACTGTTCCTCTAGGGATGCACTGCACTGTATCCTTGTTGCAGCAGTTCACACACTGATGTATCAAAGTTACACTGAGCTAAACTCACCAGACTTGAAGGAAAATCCCAGGCGGGTCATATGGAACTATACCTAGGATTGAATGTTCCTGGATGAGGCTTGCGGAGCTTTGCCGCTGCGCAGCAGGGCAGGGTCTGCCATCCTCTTCTTCTGCGTTGTTTGACTTCTCTTTCCATTAAGCTGTGAAACCACAGCTGAAGTGGCACCTCTCAGCATTATTTAAAAGGACATTTGTGGCCTCCAGTGAATTTTCATTGTTATCTTGATGGAGGCCTGTCCTAGCTCTTCTGTCTGAACTGATGGCTTGTACTGGGCATTATCTGTGGGGTTCAGTAGCTGGGGGTGCAGGAGTGGCCTGTGTGGGAGGAGGTCATGAGCTGCCCTGTGCTGCTGCCGCTGGTTGCAGCTTGCTCTGAAACAGATGAAAACAGCTCGCCGTGGGCTAGAGCTTCAGAGGAGCACATGGTGCCTGTGTTCACACGTGTTGAAGAAAGGGGGCAGCCACAAGGACACGTGCGAGGAGACATGAAGATGCATGGGAGGACACACAGAAGGTGACGGGAGGAGACAAGGGAAGAGATGTGTTCTTGGAGAACAGGAGCAGAGGAGCAGTGAGAAGCAAAAAGCCGAAGATGAAAAGAGTAAGGTGCAAGGAGAGGCAACAAGAAGCCTCTAGACCCTGGCTTCTGGCTTCAGCCTCCTGCGATGGCTGTTATCTCATAGGAGGGATGTGAAAATGTCTGAGCATAATGCCTGGTGAAGCCAGGAGAAGCTGGGGTGTACTTTTTCCATTTTTACAGCTTCTTCTTTTTTTTTTTTTTTTTTAATCAAGCAGGAACTCAGAAGTGCTGTTAAACTTGTTTTACTTCATCCTTGTGAAAATTAAGTTTTCATACTTAATCACTAAAACATGACAGAAAAATATCTGAAGCATGTACCACCTATTTTTCCTTTTATCTTGATTCATTTATTAGCTTCCTTGTATTAAAAGCCCTCCAAGACACAATTAACCCTTTTCTTATACTGTGAAGCTTGAAATGATCATTAAAACTCATTAAAGCAGAGAAAGTTACTTTCAAAGGCAGTTTAATATTTAAAATTTTCCTGATTTCTTGTGGATAGAGTAGAATATTTAGGGTATGGCCATCATGGTTCTAGTCATGACTGACTATGCAAGTAATTAATGATAATTGGTTGTTTTGCATTGCAGAACTGTGCTCTGTGCTAGAAGATACTTTGAAATGATTTTCTATAGTGGAATGTTGTCTTCTGAATATGGACTATGTAATAATGATATTGTCTAGTAAGAAGAAAATATGATTGAAGATAAAAATACTTTATCAAAGGTCTTGCTTTTTTATTTATGCCCCCTTACTTTCTCCTCTATTGTGAATTGTGCTGTTGCCAGAGGAAAGCAAATATCTACTTATCTTTCCTGGTATACCGAGTTGATTTTGTTTTTAACATTCTTTAAAATACACAAAGATGCAGTCAGTTTTATTTTGGTACCTAACTTCAGTGCACTTGTGTCAATATACATGAAGGTTGAACTTGATCTCACTTAAAAAAAGTAATTGTTTGGTATTCTGTTAATTGCCTAGTCTTTTCCCAGCATTGTATAAATACTCTTAGAATTGAGAAATTGATTAGAATAGGCAAAATTCAGAATAACCTTCTATGTTCATAGGCAGCATTGTTTTCGTCCTGCAAATGACTGATTGCAAAGAGAAGTTCCATGAAGTAAAATGGTGACGTTAAGCAATAAACTGCCTTGAGTTTACTGAAACTGCAATAAAACTACCATAAACACTGTCAAAGTGTTGATTTATTTCTACTACTAATATTAGAAATAATAAAATGTAGTATAGCATTTGTCTTCTATTTTACTAGATAAAAAATGAGTTAACTAGTAGATTAGGATTTTTGAAAGTGTTCAGCATCAACCTAATTCTGTCCAGAAGAAAATGAAAAATGAGAGGACTTAGACCAGTCTGTAGAAATCTCCATGTAGCTGCATGATGATATTTTTACATGCCTCTTTAGTGAAGGTAAAATTCTACTTGAAATTACTAACTGAGTGAGAAATATGATAATAGCCTGTCTATAGGCAGATATGAAAGCTGTAATCTGCTAAGATTCCTCTTACTCAATGAAAGCAAAACATGATAGAGACAAAAATTTGGAAGAAAAATGGTTTAAAGGAAAAATATATTTGAATATATCCCTGCACAGAGGTAGGATAGTATTATAAATGGGAAAATATAACATGAATTGCCATTGAAATCAATGTAGACATTTCAAGAAATGATACAAGTCATAAAATGTATTGTTGATTTGTGCCTTTTTAATAAAATGCCCTAATTCTAATCAACCATGCAATTATTTCAAACAGACTTACAGCTTAGCAGATACTACTTTGGGAGGCAAAGCTTTCTCAGCCATGCTGATTTGCTGAAGCTACTTATCAGTACATTGAAAAAAATATTTTTGGTTCTTTATAAAGTTGTCTTTATCCTTCTTTTTAAGGTATGGGATGCTGTAGATAAAGGCAGCTGCTTAAAAACATTCTCCTGTCACTCCTGTGCTGTTCGAGCTGCCCGGTGGTCGTCTTGTGGAAGAAGGATCCTCAGTGGGGGCTTTGATTCTGTGCTGCATTTAACAGATGTAGAAACAGGTAAAGGTCATGTAAAGATGTATTACAGCTCTATTTTTATTGAGTACAGATAACTTTGGATCTCATTAGCCTTATTCGTTCTTCCAAAAATACAGAAGATACCTGTAGGTCGTAGTTGGAATTCTTGAAATGTATCCTTGCTAAAAAAAGAATCTCAGCACTTAAGGGTAGTTGGAGATACTTAACAAAACTGAAAACTCTAATTTCATGATCATGTGTAATTCCTGTTGTCGCATACTGCACAGATAAATAGAATGAAACATGTATTTTTTTTTTTATGGTCTGTCGTGACTGTTCATGAAAACATTTGGAGAACCTCTTAGGGCTGACTTCAGTAATGTTTATACAGGGTTAATTTAAGCCTAGGCTCATACCTCAGAATTGAGTGGTCTTAAATTTGTGCTTAAAGCTAATTAGGTGATTTCCACCCAACCCCCCTCCCTCAAACAGGGCTTTAATTGGGAGCATAGAAGCTTCAACTCTGAGAATTTGAGAATGAGCTTTTGTTGCTTCGATGCAGTTGTGAATTTGATTTGGGATTTGATTGTTGCAACCTCAACAACTAATTTCCTGGATGCTGTCTCCTAATTTCTCCTTCACAAACTAAAGTGCTTCTATCAGCTCTACGTCTCTCCTCAGCATTCCTTATCAGCATTCATAGGGCAGCATTCGCTGGAGCTGTACGTAATAGGACACCTCTGATTGGGTATAAATGAAGGATGAGGCCTGAAATAGTACCTTGTCAACTGAAGAGATGCAATTTTTTTTCCCCACTTAATTGATTTTAAAATGTTTAACTCCTGCAAAGGTGTGATATTTTTTGGTAAGACTATAGAAGAAATCCTTACAAGAATTACAAGCAGTTCTTGTCTAGGAGAGCTTTCTCTCACATAAAAGTAAGAAGTACGTTGTATGTGAGTATCTGGAGAGCAGAGGTTCTATTCAGATCATCTAGGAAAGTGGTCAGGAAATTTGTGAATATTGTTCCTGTGAAAAGATAATTCTTTTCCATGTTATAAGAATTACTTTTTCTCATTTGTCGTATCAGAAGTGTTTAAATTTGATGATGGCTGGAAGGGAGCTGTTGTAGTTTGGGAATGTAAAACATGACACAGTTACAGAATGTTGATTTTTTTGAGAATATTGAGGCTTTTTAATGGGGAAAAGAGCTTAGATATATCTGAAGTAGCAGTAGTATGTAAGGTTAATAGATGAAGACAATAATTTGTCAGACTTCTTGTCTTTTTTTTTTTTCAGTTTCATTGCAGGAACCTTCTCATTTCTAGTTTTATAGGTAACTGAATTTTACTAATCCAAGTGGTTTTACTTTGGACTCTAGTGCTTACATGTTCTAAACAGAATGGCTACCTTCTTAATGGGATTTATAGGAGAATAGATTTTATGTGCCTGAGTTATTTGAAGGGACTACTGTGGGGAAAAAAATCTCATTTTATAAAAATCATGGAACAAATTCCAAAGATATGTTATTTTAATAATATAATTTCTAACATCTCTTTGATTTAAGTGTACAGTAATGGGATAGTAATCTGGATTAAGTTCATTGAGGTGATTCATTTGAAAGAAAATATTTCCAGTGTTTTAAGCAATGACAGCAATAACAAATTATATTTGCCAAGTTTCAAAACAGATAAGCTTATAAATAGTTTTTTCCCTTCCTGACTTGTGAGTTATGTAGTATTTCTAACTACTTAAATGAATTGTATGTGTAAAGGCAAAATGAATGCTTATAATCCTTGAAAACATGTGATTTTCATTACTGCCTACTTTCAAGAATACTATGTAGGTCCCGTGAATTGTAGTTGTAATGTTGATGTTTGGACCTGACTTTCAGTGATACGCATCTCATTTGGGACAGCGTATGACTGATTGGAATCTTATTCACATTTCCCGTGCATGCAGACCAGTTTCTGATTTCCTTCCCTGTTGTAAAGTTACTTTCTTTTTTTTCCCTCCCATGCATTTCAATCAGTTCTTTTCAGGGAAACATGGCAAGCAGTTTGCTTCTGGAATCCAAATCATTTGATATAAAAAGCCTCATTTCCATTTGAAAAACACTAAGGCAGCTATAAGATTTTGATTTACATTAGTTCACTGAATCATTCATTCCTCCTCACTCTTCATCAGTGTTGAAATGATTTCTTCTTTGATTAATTTCAGATAGATGTTAGAACTGTTCCTTCACAGAGGACTTTTAGATACTTTTTGGACTTCAGTTTTTATTACTTTCCATTGCTAGACTGAACTAACTACCAGTGTGTTTAAATTGCAGTAAACGCATGCCAGTGCGATTTTTAAAATAGTAATGGTTTTAAGGGTCTATACTCTTGTATTGTGTGTATGTTGTTCTGGTTCAACATTTTTCTAGTTGTGTTTACTAAAGTCTAATCTTTCTTGTTTTCAGTATAGATTTTATATATACTACACTGTGTTCTAAAAAGTTGCTACATGTCCTTCAGCAAAAGAAAGCTAACAGTCTGAAGAGAAATCTTTTTGGAAGTTTAGAAAATGTTAAAAATACAGTTTAGTACATGCACAGTATTAAGCTGCTCTGCTGTTTGGGTTTTTCGTTTGGTTGTTGGATTTGGTTTTTTTTTTTTCATCATTTTGAGGTGTTTTTCTGTTACAAATGTAGTTTCTGACCTATTAAATGAAAGTTGTAGTCTAGCCGATTGTCTCGTGACATCTAGTTAAGAGATTCTTCAAAGGAATGTTGTCACATTGTTGTAAGTACTAGAATAAATTCTCCAGGAAATTTTGTTTCTAAGCTTGGGCTTAAGTTTGGGTATCCCTTGTCCTATGATACTGTATTTTCTGGAATGATTTCCTTTTTAAAATCTTTTTTTGTCTGAACAACATCAGAATAGAAGCAAACACTGAAATCTCATTAATCACAAAGAAGAATTTTCTTGTTATTGACATAGAAATCCCGCTGCAAGGGTAGAAGACTCATCCATGAAATCTTATGCTGTAGTTTTACAGCGTTTAAACCTCTTCCCCTTGTCCAGTGTATTTAATGAAAGTTCTTAAATGTAAGAAGATCTAAAATGCTGCAAGCAGGAACCTCATGAAGTTCCATAAGGACAAACGCAAAGTTCTGCATCTGATGTGGAGTAACCTGTGCAACAGAACAGGCTGGTGCTAAACTGGTTAGAAAGCAGCTTTGCAGAAAAATCCCTGGAGTCCTGGTGCTGAATATGAATCTGCAAAGAAGGTCAGCTTCATCTTAGGTTATATTAGCAGGTGTTTACCTAGTGCATAAAGATGATGCCAGGCTCTTCTCAGAGATGTGCAGTGAAAAGGTGAGAGGCAAAGGACAACTATAGGAACACAGGTAACTTTTTGGGTCAACTCAGGGGTCATCAAACACTAAAACAGGCTAGTTCTTAGAGATACTCCAATCATCTGTTCTTAGAGATACTCATAACTTCAGTGGACAGACCTCAAAGTAACCTACTGCAGCTAGACCTGCTTTGAGTAGAGCTTTGGACTAGGTGACACCTGGAGGTCCAACCTATGTGATTTGTTGATGCTATGATGAACAACAGGGAAAAAGAATACAGATTATTGAGGTACAAGGAGTTCACCTGTCCTGATTTGGTGAAAATTGGTACCACTGTACAAGTCTTCTTTTTCTAAATTAATTTTTTATAGATTGTCATTTATTATCTTAAATGGTCATCTATTGTCCTAACACCAGGCTGTCAAGCTCATGAGTATGGTTTTCTTGAAAACTGTTGTACATTTTTAGAGTATGTGTCTGATCCAAAATATGCATAAAATGTTTAAGAAACTTAAGATTATTCTTGCATCATTCACGTGAACGGTTCTGTGGCTACATTTTGCATGAGGGTTTTCATGAGAGTTGAGCTGCCTGTAAAGATTACTGGTTAATGTTTTTCTTTTATTGTCCTATTTTACATACATTATTTCTTCATAAAAATAAAGCTTTTTGAAAGGTTTCACAAATGTGATAGTAATGCAGCAATCTGAACTAGTAAGACTCCCTGGTTTTGTTTATTTCTAACACCACATGTGATCATTTTCTATTAGTGACAATTCAGATACTTTGTTATTTACAGAGTACTAAATAGTACTGTATTCAGAAAGCACTAAAAGAAAATTGCTTTAAGCACAATTTCAAGTCAAGAACATGTGACATTTAACTTGTTATGTCTGCATGTAATGGAGATGCTCTACTAACTTTACAAGAGTAATTGTATTTTTAAAATTTATTTATAACTATTTTATGTTTAGAATATATATTTTATTCATCAGTGGATTTTTCATTAGTCACAAATGAATTGGTATGATGGCAAAGCCAGAACATTGACTGGGCTGATACTATTTGCATGTTGTAGATACTTTTCATTTCTTTGATATTATGACAAAGGGAATGTTCCAAGAAATTTTGGCACTTTTCCTGTGTTGCCAAATGCTGCAGTTGTATTTTAGTTCATGGACTGAGCTTGATTTCAAATATAACTTGTCCAGAGTTATAAATGGGAATTTAAATTTCCTATTATTTTGAGAGTTTTCACATTGCCATGGCCAAGGTACTGCAGTTAAGCTGTTGGCTTTGAAGGGAAGTTCAGGTTGTATACAATGTGGTCACTGAAATCTAGTTTGGTTTCTTAAACTTGTTTTATTTTACGTTATTTTGAGAGCTTCTGAATGGAACGTTTTGTACCTTCAAGAGGATGATCCAAATTTGTGTTTGTGTATTTTCTTTTGTATTCTGATTTGGTATTCCTATAGATATAACATTGTTAATTTGACTGTTCACATTGGAGTTTTACTGCTCATATATAAAAATTGCCTCAGGAGAGATGTGACCTTTTTTCTCCTATTCCTCCTTTTCTCTCCTAGTACTATGTAGATAGTATGTTGGTTTAATATGCACTAAATATTTATATAACACCTCAGAAAAAGGCTCAGGTGGTTGATTTTAATTTTTATCCTTATTTTCTTTTGAATGAGTACAGGTATCTTTGTATTGTTGAAGATTTCCCCCAAAATTCAGCAGTTTAAGCAATATGTTGAACACAGTTTAGTGGTCACTCTCCAGCTAGGAGGTAACAGCATTTTACTTTTTGTACTCGCTAATAGAAAAATCTTTGCAATAATGAAAATATCCCTAAAATAAAATTTTTCTTAAGGGTGAAAGATGAAACAATTTAATAGTTCAAGCATCTTTGAATGCCAGAACCTTGTGACTATGTAGGAGAAAAAATTAGGAAATACATATAGTCAGTATAACTTTAGTTCTTGGAAAAGTAATAAAGCAATTTTTAAGCACTCCAAGATAAAATAGATAAGTAACAGCCAACATCGATTTGTTAAGAACAAATCGTGTCTCATCGATCTGATGTTCTTCTTGCTGTTGCGCATGAGAGAGATTGTGACTGTAACGAGATTTGATTTTTTATTTTTTTTAAAAGGGTATTACCTCATGCTTTTCTGTAAACACACTAGGGAATTCCGCTCTGCTTAGCAAGATTACTCTCATGTCCTTGTAAGTCTTAGGCTTCACTTTCCTTTATGGATTAGTGTACAGAGGTGAATGGTTTTGGATTGTGCGGGTAGGGGTGTGAACCAGAGGACCACTAAACACAGTTGCAAGAGCATCCTGTGCTCAATAACTGTGCTGATTTCTGTGAAAAATTCACGATGTTAAATAGCCTTTAAAATATCTGATTACATAGTTGAGCAGTTTCACAGTAGGCTGCAGCATAAAGAAGCAGAAACATATGTTTGAGATTTTTTTTTTTAAAGATTGTTTTTCATACTGTATGTTGCTGGTGAGCCTTTAATGAGTGAGAATTGAATTAAAGCACTTTGAAATGTGGTTTATATTTTTAAAGATGTAGCAGCCTCTCATACAAGAAAACTATATCTTTTATAGATTTTTTTTTTTTCTTAATTAGCAAAATAGATTTTCAGATGTAATTTTCTGCAGTCTGTGTATTGGTTGAATCTTTGTTATGCTGCCTTTAGGAACTAAAATTAAATAAATATAAACATAATAAAGGTATATACAAACTTGCTGAATTACACCTGTTGAATTCTATTATGGATAAGGGAGTCTTCTGCTCAAATAACGTCTTTTGCAATACATAAAATAAGGCCCCTCTAAAGCTGAATGTTTAGTGTTAATAAATTGAATAATTGTAGAGAAAAATATAACTGTAAATACTGACTTCTAGAAAGGTGGAGCAGGGTCTCCAGCAAAAGCTGAAGCTGGATTTCCTAAGCCAGGGGCTAGGTTCTGTCATAGCATGCTTACAGCCTGTAAAATGCAAATTCTGTTTGGAGGAGTAAAACACGATACATAGATTTTGTATAGAAAAGGACTAAGAGTTGAACTCATTGTTTTAAAACACTGAATTGAATGAGCCGTTTTGCTCCATATTATCTTCCTCAGTAATATGTTCCGTCTCCCAGAAGGATATTTTCCCTAAATTTCTGAGATTCTGAAAGATTTGCAGTGGTAGAAGTTGCATAACTATGTCGAGAATGTTCCTCTGCAATTCAGCCCTGCAGTGCTAACAGCTAAACAGGAGCAGTTTAAGGGGTGTGTTCACGTGAATGTTAGGGAAGTTCACTTTGCTGGGTCTGGGCATGGTTGTGTGGCAAGCAGTCTGCCTTAGATTCTGTGGATTGTGCGTAAGTTTTAGTACTAGCAAGAGGGGATTTTCTTTTCTGTAACGTTGTGATCCACCCCTTTTAATTATGGTTGCTGCTGCTGCTTTGCTCTTCTACATTCCAGCCTTTTTCTCATTTTCTGTGACGTGGCAGCAGAATGAAATTTGTGTATGCATCTAGTAAAGTCAAACTCTTCAGAACACAGTTTACTGAGTTTCCTAAAAGAGACATTTGACTGAATTTTACTTTGAAGGGTGGGAAAATGAAGGTGAGACTTGTATTTCAAAGTATCAATTGGAGAGCCTGGCCTTTTAATATTTTTGGGTTCTGATTGCTCCTCAGATCGATCAAAAAACTAACATCATTAATATCTGTATCAAGCATTAAGGCAACAGCTTAAAACGAGAAAAGAAAGATGTTAAAGTTTATGCAGGTGAATAAGATGCTCAGGTTGTTCGCATCAATTTTATTTACTATTACACTGTAATGTAGGATTCATAGCACTGAGATCTTTACAGTGACTGTCACTGAGAGCTTTTTGATAAATAGCAGCCTCTAGAAGACAAGAAAAGGGTAAAACCGGTGTCCACTTCCCTTTAGAAAAGGGAGAGATAGAGGAGAGAATTAGAGAATTTTAGTTTCTGGAGAAAATATCAAGCAGATGATTGAGTTACTTGGAAGTAGTTAGACATGAGATTGAAAGATAGACTAATTAATAACAGATTATTTTTAATCAGTCTTCTTTCTGTGGAAGAGGTAGTTAGTACATGAAATGCATCTTGAATTTAATGCACTTCTTTTTTGTTGTGTCTTACCTGATTTTCTCATGTCTTAGGCTAGAGAACAAAATGACAATAAAAGTGTATGCATTATAGAAAAGCCAGTTTTCAGAAGTCTTGCGGAGGTAAAAATAGATTTTAATAAAGCCAGTTAATTAATATTTGGAAAGTTAGGTGATGAGTTCTACTGGATTGTTTATGTGTATGTCTAATGCCATTTGGGCAGCACACTTTAAGGAGAATAGTGACCACTTGATGTGTCCTTTATAAAGCCGCTTGACAGGATTAGTATAGGTAGGCCTCAGTTTTCCTAATTTCTGGCTGCAGTGCCATTGAAAACTTGTCAGTTGTACTCCAGAGTGTTTATTAAAGTAGGTTCTAGTAGGAACCATATTCCTTTGGGAGCAAAGTGCTCGCTGACTGGTGAGACTCCGTGGGGAAATTCAGCATTTTCAGGTACCACAGATGAGATTAAGATGCCTGTGTGTGTGGCTTTTCTTAAGCCTGCACATGATGCCTGGTGGTGGTGTACGTGAAAGGAGTATCTTGTTGCCCCTATAACTGATGATTTTAATACTTTCTTCCTTCCCTGTGGAGTCTTTTTTTCCTTCTGTAGATGTTGGAGTACTGAAAGCTCCCATGGTGGAAGTTTATTGTTGCATAAGACTTGTAGAGAGAATCTCTGCTGCCCTTATGACTTTTTTCTCTTTTTGGGGAAGGAATTTAAGGACTAAATTAAGTCTTTCACTCAGTAGTGATAGAGAGGCCTTTTAAGTCTCATGGGTAATTGGTGGGGAAACCTTTTAAAAAGAACAAGAAAATGCTACAAAAAGCGATGCTCATGCAGAACAGCACTCACTCCTCCTTTATGTTCTCTGCAATCTATTTTCCCTTGCCCTGCTAGCTTGAAGAGCACATATGATGAAGGAAAGCATATCTTCTCTTCTTTAAATAGAATAAATAAATAATTTAAAAAGTCTTAACTTCTTGACTGTGTAAGTTGATTTCAGCAGATGGGGAAAATGGAGCTGCTGATGAAATCAAATAATGAAATCAAATCATGAAATAAGTGAAAAAAAAAATCTGTACGAATGACTTTTCAGTATTGTTCACCCAACAGTATTTACATAAATCACTAATGTTTTTAAGTCAAAGTATTTTCAGTTGTTTAAGAAAGCCTGTCTTAAGATATCTCTCACTTGCTGAAAATAGAGATTAATGAATATTTTAAGAAGCTTTTGCCATAGTGTTTTGTGGGGGGTTTTTTTGTTGTTTTTTTTTTTTTAACTTCTGCGGTGCCTTCTTCACTGTGGCTTAAAGCAGTAACTTTATTTAATGTATATCTTTATGTATGTTATGTAGAATATCACATATAAGAATTGAAATTGTGAAACTGAGCAACTGGATTTTGGTCCATGCTGCTGTTACAAAAAACTATTTCAGCAACATTAAGATCATGAATTTGTTAAGATGAAAGGAAGCAGTGGACTGTGAAAAAGTTCTATAAATTAACCTAGCTAAATTCTGTTGCCTTCAAAAGTGTCGACAATCCAATTGATACCGACCATAAGATCCTGTGGAGATTAGTGTACACGATTAAGTGTTGGGAATAGTGTATCCATGGGAACAGCTTTTGCCTTCATATGATGGTATGCAAATTATTTCATACTTTCAAAACCAAGTTTAACTCCTGCCTTCACAGAAAGATAAGTAAACAGCTCAAGAGATGTTTGGGACATGGTGTTTCTGTACAGACAATATTTCATTCTATTTTTATCCCACTGAAAGGAGTATGACTTCTTTGTAGAGAAACGTTTAACCATTAGATTTGTAGATTTACTCTGCATGTCGACTGAACTGAAGCCTTGGTGAGGCTCCACTCCTTAGTGTGGGAAACCACTTGTTCTCTCCATCTAGTAGGAAGCAGTCAGTAGTGCTGAGGCCCGTAAGCAGGAGCAATTTCATATGGGTAGGAATTAGCGAGTTCAGTCTTGGATTTTCAGTAAATCGCAGTAGCCCCAGATACTTGAAATGTATTAATAGAAACATATTCATCTTTGACAACCTTGATAATTTTGAAGCTAGGTTGAAATGAATAACGTATTTCGTTTTCTGATAAAATTTTAATCTCTACTTCTCACTTTATTTTAGGGAAGCAGATATTTAGCAGTAAAAATGAATTTAGGATCAGTGCACTGAAGTTCCACCCTACAGAGTCAAATATTTTCATTTGTGGAGGGTTCAGCCCGGAAGTTAAAACCTGGGATATAAGGACTTCAAAGGTAATTGAAATCTTTTTTCTATTTCTCTTTTAGAAAGTTTCTTAAATTAATGTGCTGAGCCACCGTTTGTTGATATGAACCTCTGTAATGTTTCTGAAGCACGAAGAGGAACATTGTACACCAAATATGTAAATATGAGTGATGTATAGTTGAATTAAATAAAGCCAATAGCTCACTTCAGCATTGTGAAAAGAACTCGTGTACTAAGAAGCAGTGTAGCTAACTTGCTCCTCAAGCTGTCATGTGTGGATCAGGATGTGTGTGCCTGTATCTTTTGTGTAGGAGCTTGCAGTAATTTTCATGCTCGTGAAGGGCTGCAGAGAGGCACATGTAGCATCTGCCTTCAGTTTATTGTGATCCATGAAGAATGACATGCTCCCAATTGCCATTCAGAGCTCAGGTAAGACCAGAGCTGTACTCTGCCTAAGTGGAAGCCTAAGACAAGCCAACATTCTCACGCACAAAACAGCTCAGAGTAGCAGTGATTGTAAAGTGAGTAGTTCTTTGTTTTCCTTTGATTTTCTGTGTGGGTAGGTCCTACTCATCGTTGTGAGCCATCTGTTTGCTCCTAGGGGTGACAGAAGGGATATGAAAAAGATTGCTTATCCAAACTTTATCTCTATCTTTGTACTAAGAATAATAGGAGAGAAATGTAGCAGATGCATTTCAGGTATGAAGGCTCCTAACAGGAGAGTTCTGAAACAGTTATGGGACTTGCTCTATTGAGGAAACACTGTATTCTTGTGCAGTTAACAATGTAGTCTCTGTGCTATAATTGTTCCTTTGGATTTTTCACTGATGTTTGAGAAAGAAATTTGTGTAGGATCTATACCATAGACTTCCCTCATGTGGATAACTTGTTAAAAGAAAACCATGAGTAAGCTCATAGTGAGACTGCCACTTCTGAGGCTACTCTGAAAATAAATTCATTGTGAGTTACAAGGTCAGCGTGAAAACCTTTGTAAAAGATGTGATGAGGTTTATTCCATCCATCGTGTTTGTACAATGGCTAGTTTTCCTTGATAAGCATATGAAAAGATACTCAAAGCACTGTTCTACGAAGGAATTTGATTGTAGTTTTAGATCGTAAAAATTGTAAATACTTATGATAAAGAATATATATGTAACTTTAAAAAAAATCATGAGATCTTCCTCCCCTCTGCCTTGCACTGGTATACAGTGTTCTGGTTTTGTCAATAAGCGATTTTGATGCACTGTCTTTAGCGCAGGCAACTTACAGAACATGAAAATATGTATCACACAAATGAGAAACAGTACCAGTTCAAAGGGTGTTTATTCCAGATGATCAGAGGTCACCCTGTAAATTTTCTGTAGAACAGAATAGTTATTTTTTTCTGGTACGAGACTAGAGAAGAAAGACTAATAGAAGTCTTCTCTCCTTAACAGCAGAGTCAGTGATTTCATAGCACAGAAGTGAAGCAGGAAGTACAATTGTTTGTTCTTGATATTTTCATAACAGTAGACCTTAATTGTAGGGAGGAGATGCATTCTGTAATTGAATATTTAGCTGTTCTTTTTAACAAAGAGAAGCCATTGTATGACACAGTAAACTGAACTTCCTTTAGAGAGTACCTCAGGTCCTAAAAAGATTGTTGATCATAGTGTCCAGTTTGAGATATTTGATCCTAGTCAAGGAGAAGATAGCAGATGTAGATGACAAAACATTCTTTCTGAGGCTTTCTGACTTGATGCAATAAGCTTTCCAGTAAATGATATTATAGTTAAACACAGAGCGAAATTATAGTCTAGCTGTGTGCAAAGCCAGAGACATTCTTTCACACCCCTATAGTTTCTTTACAATGGATTTCACACGTGTATATCTTTGAGTGACTATCATAGAGAATACTTTTTCTCTAGATTTGAAAGCAACTGGGATTGATGAGCATGTTCATGCCAAAAATGGCAATACCTCTTGCTTACATGTGTCTAGATGCCCAGTCTCTGTAGATGGAAAATGGTGACACTGGTAATGGAGAAAACACCTCATTTTCAAAGAAAGAGAAGATTCACAGGAGATATTTACAGTTGAAATGTTATGCCACAATAAGACTTTTTCAGTAAATCTCATACCCAAGGTTGTGGTGACAAGGCTATGATTGCCAATATTGCCAACCACGTTGCTGTTCCACAGAAGATGCCTCCTCAAAAATATACGCACAGAAATGGTACAAGACTGACTAAGAGGTGGTTTGACTGTCTTCAAAAATCTTGGTGAAACTGGTCCTGACAAGCATCAGCAGAGAGGAAATGTGTGTCCTTCATCAAAGAACGATGTTGCTGAAACAGGGAGAGGGCAAGCAGAGACGTAGAACATAGTTTAGATTAGGGATTATTGTATCCGAGACCAGACATGTTGAGATGGAGATTGGGGTAGAAGATGATAATGTAAGGGGCAATGCATAATTTGTGAGGTACTGGCCTTTGATAAAGGCATTGGAAGAAGGCAAAAGGAGCAAATCCATACTGATAAACTGCAGATTAATAGCTCGCCCATTCATATCTTCTGTAATTCTGGTAGCCTGGCTTGAGGTGATGTTTTGATATAGTAGCTTTTGAATAACTACACCTGGAAAAATTGCAGAGGAAAACTGCAGTTTTCAGTACTTTACCATGGCATGGTTATAAGAAACAGTATTTGTGTTTGGTATCACCTTTGTGTAGGTTTCTGGGGTGACATATGAACTGTGTGTGTCTGCATGCAGAGCCAGTAGAGAACACTTTATGTGACAACATCTGTGATTCATTTCCAGAGGACAAACAGATACTGTAAAAAACATTTCTATGTAGAAGAGGAACATGAATACTTAACATTTTTTATTAATTTGACTATACATTCAGTCTAAAACAGTCCTTGTGTTTTCTACTAATTAGGGACTATATTATCCTTATGAGATTCAAACAATATTTTATTGTATCTTTATGCTTTACTGTCCAACTCTTGGTTTTTGCCTCCTTGCTTTTTCCAATGGGTACATTGGGTTTTTGTCTTTCTGTGGGGCCTGTTTACTTGTAATACTGTTGCCCAGGTAGAGAGTACTTGTGATTGCCACCTTATGATTTTTGTCTTTTTGTCTGAGAGTATTGCTGTTGCGTGCAACACAGCACAACACTATACGCTGTGACATCCTTTGATCCCATCTTACGACGTGATTTCTCAAAAGGCAGTGCTGGGCTGATAAATGCAGCAAAAATGAGACTAGTGGAATAACGCATTTTTATCTCAATGACTAAGGATACACTCATTTTCACAATGCTGAATTTCCAGCCTTTGAACCTTAAGTAAAGAGCTGTTGATCAGTGAGGAGTGCACACAGGGGTCCTGTCTGTACCTGCAGGACACTCCAGTCCTTAGAAAGATTGTGTGTAACTCTATTTCCAGATGCTGGTGCTAGTGAAAAGATAAGGGAAACATTCTACTGTATTATAAGAAAATAAATTACTTTCTGATAGAATAAGTAAGTGAATGAATGTGTATTCTGACAGGTAAAATAGGAAGGGATTTAGGCTTGGTAAAATAGAAACAGCCAGTGTGTTTCATTTGTACAGATCCTGTATTGGGCTCTCTGGAAGTTTTTAGATGTTGCCTGCTTTTGTCACTGAGAAACAATTATATTAAGGTAGAACATTACCAGTTGGAAAACTAGCTATTTAAGTAGCGTATGAAGAATATTGATCTTAATAACAAGCAGTGTCTAATCACCTTAAAAAGTGGAAGGCTTGGGTTTAACCTGGTAAGAGATATCAATCCTATTTTTTTTGGTTTTATATGTTTGCGCGTTTGAAAACTATAATGTTGTATGTGCTGTGATTGTCTAAAGAAGCAATAGAGTTTACTCTCTTACTCTGAAACTTTTCCAAAAGGGAGAGAGAACATAGAATCATAGAATGGCCTAAGGAGAGGGAACATAGAATCATAGAATTGCCTAAGCTGGAAGGGACCTTAGAGCTCATTTTAATCCAGCCTCCCTGCCGCCGGGGACGCCACCTCTGGACTAGATCAGGCAACACATGCATCTCTTAACTCTTTGATTTTTATTTTTTTTCCAATATGATGTAGCTGTAGCTCAGTGATGAGTGTAGACTGTTAGACACCTACATATGTATTGGTTTTAAAACTTGAAGAACTTTCTGTACTGAGTGATTGTGGAAGACCATAGCTGAGTGGAGAAAAAGGGGAAAAGCTTACAGCTTCTCGCAAAATTGTGAATATCACACCTAAAATACTGTAGTTACATTTCAAACTCTCAGCCACAGAACAGTGTGCTGGTTAGGCATGAAACATCCATGTTATCAGTGTCTCATGTCTGCTTCTCCCTAGTTTGAGGAATTTCAATGAATTCTTCAGTTATTCCAGCTTCCAGCTTCTATTGTCATCTTTATTCCTAAGATAAGATGGAACAGACAAAGTATCCACTTTTTATGTAGTTCTGGCCCTATTTCAGATTGGATAAAGTGTTCTGGCCGGTATTTTTAAATTGATCCGGTTGTAAGTGCCATTTGCTCTTAACCAAAATAGAAGTGTGAGGCCTCTTGCCGCTTCGTTTCAGTTTTGATGCAAACAACCTTAATATCTTTCAAGTGCTTTCATCCTAATTCATTACAAGATTTTTCTTGTTTTGCCTGTTCTTTCAAGTGTGCTAACCTGTCAGTCAACTTGGAACGATGTGTGGCTGAACTAATGATTCTTTTTGTTCCCATCATCATACTCCTGATAGCCTTTTCAGGCTTTGCAGCATATTTTGTCAGTAGAGTGAGTACCCTAAATCAAGGGCTTGAATCTTGTTACTCACTGCACACTGAAAGCTCAATTTCAGCATTCACTGGTAATTCAATTTCAGAGGTCATTATTTAGAGTGTACTCCTGTGTTTTGACAGGCTGTCTGCTTGCACATCTTAAATTTAACTATGTGAGGCAAAATGATAATTGTGTATCAGGAAATAAGAGATTTTTCTGGTGGAAATTCAGAGCAAAGCATTAG